ATTCGTGGGCGACGCGAAGCAGCATCGGGGTCCCGGGGCGCACCCTGCAGGACCCAACCCGCGACCCTCGCGCACCTGCATACATCGGGTAGGTGCAGCGACGGAGGGCCCGCCTTGCCCAGGGCGGAGGCGGCCGCCGGACTTGGCAGGTGAGGCCGGCAGGTGCGCTGGCCCCGCCCCCAGGTGCACTGCCTCTCGGGGCGGGGCCACTTCCGGGCCGGAGGCCGGACGTGGAGGCGGGGGGTGGCCGTTGACCCGGTAACTGCTGCTCTGCCTGAAGCTGGAGGCACCGCCTGCTCGCTCCCCCGCCTGAGCGGGGACATGCCGCCGCACCCTCCTCGGCCTCGGCTGCGAACGCCCGCTGCCCAGCTCCACCCTCCGCCGGACTGGGTCTGACGGAGCGGGGCAGCCATGAGCGCCAACCCCCAGTGGGACATTAGCAGGGCTCTGGGAGTGGCCAGGCTCTTCCACTTGGTTTGTGGGGTCCGGGATGCCTGCGTGACCCCGTTTCTGACCCTCTACCTGAGGCAACTGGGCTTGGCAGCGCCCTGGGTGGGCATCCTAATGGGAACCAAGCACCTGATCGCAGCTTTCTGGGCTCCCTTCTGTGCCTTCCTGGCCAAAAGCTACCAGAAAAGGAGGTTGCTTCTGATCGGCTCGCTGCTTGGCTCGGTGGGAGTCAGCCTACTGATGGTCCTGGTGCCGCCGCTGGACAGAGATCTGGGGTACCGCTCCTGTAATGGCAGCCGCAGTGTGACCACCACAGTCCAAACCCCCGGGGTCGTACTAACTGTGAACTTCACTTTGGCCCCAGAGCCAAACCACCCAGCGGGGGCACCCAGCCTCCCAGCCAAGAGGAGTACCGGGATCCGGGACGCCTCTGGCTTCAGAAAAGGCCCTGGGGAAAGCGTCCAAGAACCTTTCAGTTATTTACCCAGCTACTTTGTGAGCTCCGTTGAGGGAGCCAGGACCACATCCGGAGTTGTCCATCCTATCACTTCAGGGGTGAAAGATGCTCCCTGGGAAGGTGCTTTTAAGGTGGTCAGTACTACCCTCCCTTTGCTTGCTGAGGGTACAGCGCTGGGAAGTCCAGCCAACTTGTCGGCCACCAAGGGGAACACAGGGGCCCTTGACCTCTCCTTGGAAGAGTTGCGATGGACTTTCATTCTCTCCTTGGGGGCCATGGTGTTCTGGGAGCTGCTGACAGCCCCTCTGGAGCAGGTTGCCGATGACAGCCTTTATGAGTATCTGGATTTTGTGGATGCCACTGACCGTTACAGAAACCTATGGATCTGGAGGCTACTGGGCATGTCCGTAGGCGTGTGTGGCATCGCAGCCTTGGTGGAACAGCTGGACTGCTTCCTAGTGCCAAGTGGCCCCCGAGGTGTGCTGCACTTCTATGGCTACTCCCTGGTCGGCACCCTGGCTTTACTGGTGAGCATTGCATTTCCCGTCCCCACCTGCAGGTGGCGAGAGCCCAGCTACAAAACGGTCAAAGCACTGTCTCTGGTAGGGGGCGACCCCCGCCTCATTCTCCTAGCCTTCACTGTCTTTCTGATAGGAGCCGCCACTAGCACAATACAGAACTTTCTGTTCTGGCACATGAAAGACCATGGAAGCAGCGAACTGGTCATGGGTTTCGCGGTCTCCCTGGGCTTACTGGGGGAAATGCTACTTCATCCGTTGAAAACAATGTTGCTTAGAAAATTGTCCAGGGTGGGCATGGTGGGGCTGGGGCTGGGCTGCCTCTCGGGGCAGCTGCTGTACTACTCTTTCCTCTGGAGCTGGTGGTCTGTCCTCCCTGCTCAGATCTTGAGCGCCGTCAGCAGTGGGGCTCTGTGGTGGGCAGTGGTGGCCTCAATAGAGGACCTAGCCACTCCCAGAACGGAGAGACCTCTGAGTGCCATGTTCCGAAACCAATTCTACGGGGGCGGGGCCAGCCTGGGCAGCTTTGTGGGGGGTTTAGTGGTGAAGCACTTCAGCCTGGCTGTGCTCTACCAGGCCAGCTGTGTGGTCCTGTTGCTCTGGCTGGTCTTGTTCCTGTCCATCCAGCCGAGACTGCCCCAGCAGCGGAAAATCAACTACTCGAACTTGCTGGCCATGGAGGCGAGTGACACGAGTGACTCTGAGCAGGGGACTGAACGGGACTGGCTCGTGAAGGCCATGAGGGAGGAGCACTCAGACTGGAAGGCCTGAGAGAAAGTCAAGATGTGCTGACCTGGGAAGGAGCCAAAGCTCGGCAAAGCTCAGCCTGCTGAGGACAAAACCCCCAAGGACAAAACCCCTGGGGCGACAGGGAGCCTTGGGAGAGAGAAAGCAGAAGCCCCACAGGATCATCTCATTGTATGATTTTCTTTACTTTTATAGTAAAAAAAAAGGGGGGGGGGAGTTTACTTTTTTCATTTCAGTCTTTTTTAAATAATGGAGGAAACATACATTTGCTAAAAACCAAAAAAAGTTCCCTCTGTGTTCACTGTATTTTGGTTTATACGTTTGCGAGAGTTTTCTTAGTACTGACCCTGGTGCCATTGACTTTAGCCACTGTTGGAGTGCTCAGATCAAACCGGCAGTGCCAGGAAGGCAATGGGGACCTGCAGGATTCAGGTTGCAGAGGGGGTGGTTGGCTTGGATTGAGTCATCCACATTCCTATGGGTCCTAAAGGGCATGAGCCTGATCATATTAAAGCCATGCTGTGAGCAGGTAAGAATCGTAATGAAAACTGATACTCTTCCCTCTCTCCTCCCACTGATATACAGGTGCTCACACTCCACCCAGGTACTTAAGTTTCCACTAAGAGAAAATGATGGGAAATGTAATATGTGCCCAGGGGAGAGAGGGTGCAGGTTAATAGGTTTTTACTCTTACTCTTAAATGTGTGTGTCACCAGGGATAGGATCCTTAGAGTCACTGTGCTCTATGGCTAAGACGTTGGAGAAAAAAAAGGGAAATTCAATGTTAAGATTTAAGACAGCTATCACTTGAAATTTACTGGATAGTAGATAGTATTTACTGTGTAGACAGAACATACAATAATACCAAAACACAAACATATGTGTGTCCCCCAAACATAAACAAGAGGACGAGGAACAGGATTGGTTTAAAAAAGAGTTAAGAGTAAGTGTGATTCAGCCTGTAGAAGGGGAAAGGGCAGAGAAAGAGGAGCATGAGGTATAGGAGGAAGGAGAGGTGGAGGAGGAGACGAATGATGTTGTGGTTTAAGGATCTAAAAGATTTTATGGGAAGGATGCTGAGAAATTTGTGATTTGGCTACTCCATATTTGACTAGCCTCTGTTTGTAAAGAATTGTGTTACTTGTCTAGAGAAATATAAGAATGAATAAAATGCATAGCCCCTCCCCTCAAGAAGCTAATAGTCTAACTGGGAGATTTACTTCCGTACATACACACATATATTACCAGGAAGCACAGGACACTGTGAAAAATGACATGAAAAAAAGTATTACAGGAGTTTAGGAAAGGGACAGATCATTTCCGACTCAAGAACTCAAAGAAGATTTTTGTGGAATTACATTTAAGCTCAGCTTGAAGGATAGTAAACCTAGTAGGTAGAGAGGGCGGTAACTCGAGGAAGGGCATTTTAGGCAGAAAGAACAGCACGAGCAAATTTACAGAGGTGGGAAAGCGTGGGGTCTACTTAGGAAATAGCAAGAAATATAGCTTGGCTGGAGCAAAGGATTCATGTAGGGAATGCTGAAAGGTAAGGCTGGAGAGATAGCTTAGGACCAGATCATGGAAAACCTTGATTCTGTAGGCTTTGGGTAAACCATGGAAGGTTCTGGACAGGGTCATGACAGGTGAGGACTGCACTGAGCTTTAAAAAAATAATCAGCTTTATTGACATATAAGAAACTATATATTTAAATTGTAAAATTTGATAAGTTTTTAACATATATACTCATGTATATATATGTATATATACATACATATATGTGTATTAGTATGTATACATTACACACACACACACACACACACACACACACACACCCCATGGTGCCCATGGTTTTTATAGGGGCTTCATTACATAGGCATGATTCACTGAATCACTGACCCATGACTCAATCTTCAGTCCCCCTCTCTTCCCCAGAAATCAGGCTATCAGGATATCACATGGCTCAAAGCCCCAAATTTCTAACAACAAGGTTGGTCTTTTTGGCATGGCCAGCCCCCATTCTGAGCCACCTTGTTCACATAATCACAGGTGTGGTCCGAGAGGCCCACCAGGAATAACAAAGACACTCTTATAACTCTGAAAAATTCCAAGGATTTAGAGGCTACCTCCCAGGAATGAGGGGCAAAGTCCAGCCAGAAGTTCTAACAGAAAACATGTACACAAACGGAACAAGACAGGACAAGCTAAATGTCAAGTGAGAAGTTCAAACAGTGAGTATTTCACAAAATCTGGGGCAGGTGTGATGGTTGAGGGCTGGGATATTCAGAAGACACCCTCAATGGAGATAATGAAGTCGACCTGCATATGGAAGGAACGACTGGGTCATAAAGACTTAGTCATCGAGATGTGACTGTTACTCTATTGACTAGCCAGTAGGTCAGTAAAGCTTCATAAAATCAAAAGTAAATAAATTCTTAGCTCCCAACCTTATGGCTATCAGAGATATTGAGCTCTAACATATCTTGGTTCCAGCTAAGAGGAAAGCAAATATTGAATGAGCCATTAACTTTTATTCTCAATCTTAAACCATTATTTCCCAAATGAGTTTTGTAGAATACTTAATTCTCGTGGGGTGGGGGTGGGGGCATTAAAAAAGATCCTATGGCTAGAAAGTGATATAAATTACTGTCACCTCTTAAACTTAAAACATATATTAGCAATTAAAAACTCAGAAACACCTTGTAGTCAACAAACTTGTTTAGCTCTGTTGGACCTGTAATTCCCCTTATATATCCGGTATCACAACCTTCTTCCATGTAACACCAACCACTATCTTGCAGAACTAGTTAGTATTCCCTAGAATAGACCTTGAAAAATACCAACATTGGTGGTTTTCTGTATGATTTGTCAACTCAGCAGAGTTGGTGATCAGTGACAAATCTGGGCTCCCACACCCCAACTGGCAAGAATCGTAGGTATCTTGCCAAGAACTTGACAAAGTTTATCTCATTAAGAGTGTCAATTCATTTCACAGGTGAAGTAACTAAGGTTCAAGAAGGTTAAAGTTCAAAACCAGTTCTGTTTGAGTCAATCCTCTCAACCTCTATGTAAAAACTGATTCTGATCAGTAGAGAGGCTACTCCTACCAGGAGAGCAAGCGATGGGCAGGGGCAGGGGCATGGCGGTTACGAGTCACTAAGGTAGCTTGTGGATTTTGTATGAGGAGTTGTGGAAAATAAGGTTGGAGACATGGGTTGGAATCAGATTGTGCACATCCTAAATGCCACCCTAGGGGAAAGGAAACTCACACTGGTTGAACTGTGCCTGCCCTGTCTGTGCCTAACACCTGCATATGGTAACACTTAAACAATCCTCACAACAACACTAATGCTCATTTTACAGCAGGGGAAACTGAGGTGCAGGAGGTTAGCTGTCTTAGCTGTTCAGGGTCATGACTATTAGATGGTGGAGCATGACCTGAACCTAGATCTGACCACTGTAAATCGCATGTCCTTCCTCCAAATATCATGCTGCTTCTCGGAAGTGAAGATTTTACCAGCTAGTGGATAGACACTGGAAGTTTTCCACTCTCTCTTGCCAGTTGCATTGTGAACAATGTGTCTGAGTTGGGGGAGCTTCTGTTTTGGACAGATCATTGCAACTGTCCAAGCAGGAAGAGCTGCATCTCAAAAGTGTGCGAGGGTCTAACGAGAAGGTAAATGTATGAAGATCAGACAATTAAGTTCGCGAACTTGTTGCAATAATGTTCCTAACCTTTTTTGATATCAGAGGGATTATTCATTATGAATTTGCACCAACTGGACAAACAGTTAACCAAGTTTACTATTTGGAAGAGCTGAAAAGGCTGCATGAAAAAGTTAGACTACCTGAACTTTTCATCAACAATTCATGGCTCTTGCATCATGACAGTGCACCAGCTCATAGGGCACTGTCTGTGAGGGAGTTTTTAGCCAGTAAACAAATAACTATATTGGAACACCCTCCCTACTCACCTGATCTGGCCTCCAATTACTTCTTTCTTTACCCGAAGGGAAAGGAAATATTGAAAGGACAACATTTTGATGACATTCAGGACATCAAGGGTAGTACAATGACAGCTCTGATGGCCATTCCAGAAAGAGTTCCAAAATTGCTTTGAAGGGTGGACTAGGTGCTGGCATTGGTGCACAGCTTCCCAAGGGGAGTGCTTCTAAGGTGACCATAGTGATATTCAGCAATGAGGTATGTAGCGCTTTTTCTAGAATGAGTTCGTGAACTTAATTGTCAGATCCTCTTCCCACCCCAACCCCTACCGCCCCACCCCATGTGCTATGGACTGAATTGTGTCCCCTCCAAATTCACATGTTGGAGCCTTGACCTCCACTATTTAGTGGGGTCTTTAGGAGGTAATCAGGGTTAAGAGATCATAAGGGTGTGACCCTATTCCCATAAGATTGGTGTCTTCATAAGAGGAGGAGGAGACATCAGAAAGCACTCATGCACATTCTCTCCCTGCCCCCCTCCCCACCCTTGGTGAGTGCACAGAAGAAAGGCCATGTGAAGACCAGTGAAAAAGGAGATGTCTATAAGCCAGGAAGAGAGGCTTCACCAGAAATAGAATTTACCAGCACCTTGATCATGGACTTACAGCCTCCAGAACTATGATAAAATAAATGTTGTTTAAACCACCCAGCCTGTGGTATTTTGTTATGGCAGCCCGAGAAGACTAACACAGTATGCAAAGGAGTTTCAGAGGTGGAATCAATTATATAGCCCTTGGCTTTTGATTGGATAATGAGGTGGAGGGTTAAGGAAGAAGGAGGTACAAGGATTGGGGATGATTTTGCAATTTTGAACCCATATGATGAGGAAGAAAGTCTAGAAATAGCAGAATTCAGAATGACAGAAAACCAATGCATAGATCATAAACATTAAAGACAATACAGCAAAAACATTACTCATAATCCTGCTAGCTCCCTTCTATAATCGCTGACTGGCACTGAGACCAGGAACATCACTGTTTGGTGACACTTGTGACATGGGGAAGAGCAGAAGACATTCCCAATATCCAGAGGCTTTTCGTAGCCATGTTTCTGAAACGACTTTCTTTTCAAGCTTGGTTGGGAAATAGCTTAAAGAAATGAGGTTGGACTGGACTGAAGTTATTCTCAAAGCTGGGAGCCAGTGGTCTGTGATAGGAACGTAATTTGATGAGGTGTCTTCCGCTACGCAGGGTAGCTTAAAATATGACCTCTTGGGAAGCTCACCTACCCCACTGAGTCTCAGCTTCCATGTCTGAAAAATAAGGGACTTGGCCTCCATCCCGATCTTCCAGATTTGTGCCACTTGATTGCGACATGATTCCTTCCTTTGAGCGGACCCCGAGAATTATCTCCTGAGGAGACAGGCTAACCTAATTCTGCCATAGTCACTCTGCCCACCTCAGCCCTTCTCAGAACCTGGCAGAATAGCACAGCATCCTGGAACCCGAGGGATGACAGGGCATTGAATGACTGTTCATTTCCTTCCCTGAACCTGGAACTAAGGCCCTGGTCTGGTGTGCAGCGTGGCCATATTGAGCACCAAGCCCCAGCAGGAGGGGAAGGAGAAAACCCCCAGCCCCGCCTACCCTCAAAGCCAGGGCCCCGGGGGTGGTGGGATGAACCAGAGGGTCAATCTGTGGGGACTAGGATTGCGTGCCTATGAGTGGGGACTCCAGTGTGGGGTCTGTGGTGGGAGAGGGAGGCTTGGGTAGGCACCTTCAGTGTGGGGAACTCATTCCTGGTGACATCCAACTTGCGACTCCTTCCCCACGGCTTAGCTCATGTCAACCATCATAGGTTGCAGCCTTGGACTCCTGCATCCCCTCTGCCCTTTGCAAGGGGTGAGGGCATCCTCCGGGCCTGAGAAGACATTTTCTACCTCCACAGGAGGTGGAAGACCATAAGCTGGAGCTGAAGAGGGCTTCTGCGAGCAAACCAAGACAAGGAGAGTGTGAGGGAGGAAGGGATTCCACAAGCAGTTCAGAAGTATTCCACCAGGGGGCAGCAAACACACTGGGAAAACTCCCCAGGGGCTTCCTTGGGCAAACCCAGTCCTGTGCCCTTCCCAAACGCTCCAGCTCAGGCAGAGGCGAGCTCCCTGAAGACCCTTCAGTTCTTGGAGCTTGGAACTACAGAAAAACCCAAGAATCAGGTGCCAATGCTGAACTGGCTTTGCGTGAGAGATGAGGTAGGTCCGGGAGAGGGGCCTGGGTAAAGGGGGCAGCTGTGAGGGTTTACACTGGACATCAGCCGTGCCAGCCCAGAGCAGCCCCAGGCATTTCTTCCTGAGGAGACAGGCTACCCTAATGCCACTTTAGTCTTGGTCAGGGTGAATGGGAGTCGGCGTAAGTGTAAAAGAAACAGGAGAAATGACTGCATGTTCCACTTGAGATTCCTAGAACTGACAAGGGTCAGAGCCACAATAATATCAGTTTCACAGATACCTCCTTCTTCTCAGCTGGCATCCCCTTCCAACCTTGGCTGCCCAAGCCTCATCAGTTTATATCCGGGTATGGGCAGAGAGGGACTCTGAGTGTTTACAAATAAGTTTGATCTCACCAGGCATTCACTGGGCCCCCATTACCAATGGAAAAGGATGAGAGGATTTGTCATGGGAGACCTTCAAGAAAGTCCTGAGGCCCTCTGATATCACCATGTTACAAAGTTTTCCTTTCCTCAAGAAGCAGATGGCATCAACAGTCTTTCTATTGTTCTTGGCA